AATCTAGGGCTAGGTTCGAACGAACTCCTAGAGAGGGGGGGGGGTATAGAGCAACTTTTCCTTATCGCACGAGTGCCCTGTGCATTGAATCATTGCACAATCTCTATTCGGGAGCGGAAGCCCATTTCCAAAAGGAAAACAGCCAAATATTACGAACAAGAGGATCATTCCCTCCTGAAAATCGGCCTCAACTTCCGCGCTGGGGTTTGTAAACATGTCAGTCTACCGCGCACGAAAATTCGTAGACAACAGGTGAGTCTTGAAGTCTTTCAGACCAGTTACTTTACCGCCTCCGGGAAACTTGCCCTGTGACAAGGACGGGCGACTCGTCGTCAGTGTCCGGGTGACATTCCGTAACGCTGCCATCTTGGCGCCTGATTTTGTCCTGTTGTTGTTATTGTCTGATTTCTTCAAGTACCATAATCTTGCTACCGTACTCCCAACTCACCTTAGGATCCTTTGAAAGCAGATCACCAGCTCTTATATGCTTCGGCCAAAGATTGTCGAAGAATGAACCGCTGCTGAACCCTTTGATGGCACGCTGAAATTTATGCAATTAAAAATTGAGCAATCTAGGAAAGGCTCATTCCCCACTAAGACTGAAATTTCGCTTCTCCTTGAATTTACTGCTTCAAAAGGGATACGCAGCCAGCATGCCTGAAGTTATGCGACAGCTCCTTGAAAATCCATCTTGAATCAGGCCCAGCTCCGCCAATTTTTTTAAATAATGTAAATATAGAACTTCTTGTGAATTTTCACTGTATTTTGGTCACACTTTCAGAAATTCTACGCCTTTTCTTAATTCTTAACTGTCATCTTCTTTTTTTTCATTATAGAGGTCTGCACACCCCTCGGGTGTATCTAAGATAAACAGCTGAATAATCAAATTCATTCCTCATTAGTTACAAATATTCGTTTTTGGATAAACTCCTATTTCCACTAAATTTATCTTCATTTTCAAAAATTTTTATCGCTTTTTCTTCATTTCATTTCATTTCCACTTAATTGATAGGACTGAATCGCGTGAAAAGTCCCAACCGGATTACATACTGTAGGGGTTTTATAGGCGTATTGACAAGCCCTGAAAGATCCACTTCTGAGAGAACAATCCCCTACTCCTTTTCAATTAGGTGGCGATGAAAATTGATATCTGCGTAAGACGAAGGATGACAAGGGACCAGAAACCAATACGAATATCAACAATGCTTCACTGGCCATGCGACAACAATGTCCATGAAGAGTGATGAAGATTACGACGAAAAGTCGCAACAAGCCAAAAAGAGCAGGAAAGCAGAAAGGACAGAATCCGATGCCCAGATGACTTAGGGTGGCAATTCAAGACCCAAACAATGGAGTAGTTGAGTAGAGTTAGACCAGGTCTTGCCATTGGGGGGGGGGGGGGGGGGGGGGGGGGGGGGGGGGGGGGGGGGGGGGGGGGGGGGGGGGGGGGGGGGGGGGGGGGGGGGGGGGGGGGGGGGGGGGGGGGGGGGGGGGCCTTAACTAAGAAATTTTCGATAGAAATCAAGTGCATGGCTCATCCTAGAGGGTTAGAGCCTTGGTCTTCGTTAGTTCCGTTCCATGGAGTTTCCTTTCTTCCGCTCAATAATGCACGCTTTTGCAAAATCCTCCCTAATTCCGAACCTCTTTTTTCCATATATCTTCGTTGAATTATGGCTCTAGGTCCTTACTGTGAATTCAGTTAGATTTCAAAAGAAATCTCCAAAAGAAAAGAAAAAGAATTTCGAAAAACACCACACCCTGCCCCCCCCCCTTAAAAATCCCTCCTCCACTAGTTAAAAGGCGTGGTTTAGGAGCAAAGGAAGTCAAAGTCTTCTATGCAAATTTCTACACTGGAACATTTTCAAATAAGGGCACGGCATATCGAGGAAACCTTCTGCAAAACACAACCCCTCCCTAAAATCCCTCCTACGCTGGTTTGACGGGGGAGCGTTCCACCATACTAATGGCGAGTCTGATCGGATATTCCCAATAGTATTACACTTCTCTGGGGCGAATTGAAAAAACACCCGTGAACGTCATCTCGGAAATAGGACGCCTATGGGCAGTCAAATCGTATTAGCAGAATCGGAAGTTGTAAAACCTGGGAGCTCAAAAAAGGCCCACAATTTTGAAGGCATGTCTTGCGCACGGCTCAAGCTGAAGGGATTCCTAGGAATGAGCCTTGTTCTTTTGTTGGGTCCGACTTCACGAAGTTCTTTATTTCTTTACATTTACTGTAGCGTTTTGCAGGATCCTATTTGATTCCGTAGCCTTTTTACATATACTCACCCACTCTGACTCCATTTCCTCACAGTAATCGCAGAGTTAGGACCAGAACATTTCGCAGAAGTTGCTAACCCTTTTCTGACGGGAAAAACCGATGCGCGCAAGCTTGCGACATTATTTTTTCATTTTTTCGGCAAGACAAAGACCGGTGTGACATACAATCCGCTGTCTCATGGCATCAGCAATGTGTAATTCGCGTCGCGAGAGGTTTTAGGTTTCAGTTAGCAAGAAGATGGCGTCGCCGAGCTGTGTGAGCGCTTGAAGTCTCGCTTTGTGTCCCCCGAGTCCCCAGAGGCACTTCCCACTCAAAACTCCTCAAAACTCATTTCATTTGAGAGGAGGCAATCAGTGCAAATGCACAATCACCATGAAGTACCTCAGTCACATCTCTAAAAAGCGTCGTAGGAAGTGGAAGTGACTTTGGTCGCAGGCCATAAGAATGCTGTGACATAAGCAAAACCCTTTACGTCAGCAAGAAATTGCTGACGTAAGCGATCTCACATTTTGCTGGGAAAAGTGCAGCCCATTTGGGCAATGTGTTAGTGCTTTCGGTGTGCATCCATTGGATCATGGGTGACTAGATAGCGCCCGGGCTCCTGGGAAATCCTTCTGTGGTAAAGCAGGATCACCACTGACTTCGCTCAGGTCCCTCGACATTCATTGCGGAGAACTTTACGACCAAAAAGGCTCTAGACGCCATTCATGTTTACCTTTCCCTTCACGTGAGTAGGGTAAACCTTTCAGCATATAATCGGCGATAAAAGTTCATGATAAGTGCCCGTGGTTCTTGATCGAACCTTTTGAAATTGCACTTCTTGTATTTGCGGCGGAAACCATAAAAGGGGTGGAGCTCCCACTTTAGTATCGGACCCGGCGTATTCGACGCCCTTTCAGAGTTTCGTAGGAAGATGGCGCTTTGGACAACACCATCACTTTCGAAGCAGGCCGATGTACTAATCAGCGCTTTCGTCTTCCGATACGAATCTGTCATATACCTACTTGCCCACCCGGATGGGCATACTTAGTCCTATGAGCTCACCAACCTGACTTGAGTAGAGCAAGATGTTTGAAATAACCAAAAAGCTTCTCTAATGTCGAGCACGAAATGTGATCGCTCGAACTCCCCTTAGAGTTTTCCGGAAATTTCTACCTCGTCCTCACCCGCCTATCAATCGATAGCCTTATCTTTCGTGGGGAGGGGGTGGTGCCAGTTTAATATAATCTAGCAAGATTAAGGCTGGCTTTAGCACGGCGCCAGTCCGTTCTCCACCAATTTTTGTCGCTTGCCCTCTTCAACATTGGCGGGAAACGGGCTAGCGCCGCGCCGAAGATGGCCCCCACCTGACACGCTCTGACGTAAAACGACCCTACCTAAGTCAATCAATAGCCCCCCAACTGAAATGGAGAGCTGTTCAAAGGAGAGAAACAACTTAGAGGATTTTGAGGATTTTCTAGCGCTTGTCAAAACTCAAAAAAGTGGGAGCAGTTCGGCTTAGAGGGAGCACCACGTGGTGCTCAGCAATGTTTTTATAGGTTATCTTGTAAAAACTTGTGAGTTACTGCGATTAAGATGGCTCATTTGCACCATTTCGTAGCTTCACAACAGTTTAGCTATCCAACTGAGATCTGTTATTTAGAATGAACTAAAAAAGGACTTGGAAAAGTGCAAAGCGCCCCTCCCCCCGAAACAACGGGAAAAAGTGCTCCCAGTCACAGGCCTTCATTTTCTCTCTAGTACCCAAACCCTCTAGTATCCAAACTTCTTAGCGGTTCTTTTCTCATCCAGTAAAAAGCGGTGCACAATATTGCGTTCTCACGTCCACTCAGAGGTCTTTCATGTTCCGAAATAAGGCTGTTTTTCCCCACTGTACTTCAAGGACACGTTGGGAAATGAAGATTGGTCGTGTGGCCAGCCGCCGCTTTCGCTTTGTCAAATTAGTTGGCCATGAATCATCCGTTGCAACGGCAGCTGCTCGTCGTCACGGCTCCTACGCTCGTGGTCAAAGAATATGTGAAAGGAGAAAAAGTCAAAGGCAGGAACAAGCAAGAAGAACGCAGGCACCAAAGAAAAATCCAAAAGGCACACCTCATGACACTGTGATGGCTCCAGGGGTTTAGATATGATTACTTGGCAGTGCTTAGGCCATGTTGCCAGCGGAATAAACAGAGCTTCCGAGACTGCTCACGTAGAAGCCTCAGGGTCACCTAATGTATAATCTACTGTCTGTTCCTTTTTACGACACCTTTCACGTGCTTCACAAACCTTCAGTGGCGTGAAGGTCACAAAAGTATTTGTCTTTCCGTCACTGGGAATGCTCTTTTCCCTGAATACGGTTGGAGAAAAGGAAACGGCCCATCAATTGAGAAGTCACAGTGTTGCAAATCCCCCATCCGTTCCCTACCTGCGCCGTTTGACTTATAAGGGAAATGGGTCTTTAAGATCCGCAGCGGTACACACGAAGTATAAAATGAACTTGGATTTATATGCGTATGTGTAAAAATGCTTGAATTTGTGTATGAATCTTCTCGCGAAAGCAAATTGACAATAACAAGTAAGTAGCAGGAGTTCAGCAAAAAGTACTAAAAATAGATAGACGTACCTCGTAACGGATAGCCGGTAGATTACTGCCTTTCCATACTTTTTACGTTTTTCACTCGATCATAGTACGGATCACAGGTGCCATTATCAGAGCAGAACAACGGCCTCAGACCCTCTACCGTACAATTCGGCCGAAGACGTGTCGTTCATAGTAGGTATTGTAATCATCCACCGGTCGATCGCCCATCATACAAAATCTGAATAAAATTCAAGTTTTGGAGCCCAAGCGTGTTTGTTTAGAAGGTAGTGAACACCTCAGCAGCTTATAAGCAACTGCAAACATTTCGTTTGCATATTGTCGTCCGTTGTCATTATTATTACAATTTTAATACACTATAATTACGATGAGCTTCTTCGCACCCACGGGAGTAGGGGGCGAGATAATCAGAATACGGGTGGGCGTGGCGAGCGCGGTGGTAGGCGCTGACGACGTAACTGGTAGTGTGGGCGACGCCAGCATTCCGGACAGGCAACGCAGGATACCTGCGTCGCTTGGATACATGGAGTGAAAGTGCATGTGAAATTTTTTACATAACGCGTCACATGAAGTTTTGTTCATCGGGATCTATCGCAACCATAGCTCGATCTAACAATTCTGCCCCACCCACCGCAGATCAAGAACCCGCAGCAATGGACGCAGGACACGGCAGACACGATGCCGAACACGCCGCAAATTACCAATTTTGGTCTTGTCTCCTCCTTCAGACAAGTTATGCAGAAAGCCGTCGCGGAATTAGGATACATGGCTAGTTCGGCTTGGTGGGGGTACATCATTCAGTGAAGCCTGCAGTACAGGCTACCTTGTGAAGACTTGTGGAATCCTCGTTACCAGGTGGCTCACCTGCGCCTCTCTGCAGCTTTACATGAGTTTACAGTTCTCACTTTGATAAGACTTGTTAGTCAACATGAAGCAAATGTCCCCCACCCAAATGCCCCCCCTCTCAGAGCCTCACGTTCCTTTGAGGGGCAATAGGTGTTGCGTCAGAAGCCCATGACTCGGGAGGAACTAAAACAGTGCTTTTATAGCTAAAATTGCCGCTCCAGTGACTACTGATTGCCGGCCTAAATGTTAGCTGGGCCCAGAGTTTGTGGTGCAGCCATCCGTTTTTCCACCACTGACTGCCCCCGCTGAGCTTCTTCTTTAAATTGATGGAGAACAGGTTGACGCCGCGCCAATCCAGCCCCCTGACACGCCTAGGAGCCACAGTGAGGACTGTAAAAAATGACGCTTCAAAGAGGTTGATCAGCGGCAGAAGCTTTCTTTAGCTCACATAGCAGACAGTTCCTAGAGCTAGGCCAGTAAGGGATTTTGAAGGGCCCCACCATGCGAAATCAACTTGTTAAGCAAAAAATTAAGGTTTCCAAAAATATTAAAAGGTTGAGAGTGATGAATCTACGGACTTACTTGAGCGAGTCTGAACCGTTGAATTTCACAAAGGCACCAAGAAACGACGAAAATATACAGAATAGTACGACAAAGACGAGTGGTAATGCAAACTTGTTGACCACCTAAAATATTTTCCATAGTGGTTCCGCCAATACTTTTATTTTCCCAATTTTCGAAGCATCATTTCATCGTCATGGTTAACTAGGAAATTAAAAGAAATATGCAAATATTCGCGAAACATTATCAGTTCTATGCGTTTTGGAGGCGATTTTTTTTCTGTGACGGTTTACTTGGAAAGGAGTTTGATAAACCTCGCGACAGGGTGGAAGAAGGAAAAAAGAGGGTAAAGGACAAAAACAAGAGGGCAAAAGAAATTGAAAAAGAAAAAAAGAAAAGAAACTGAAATTTGAAGCTTACCTTGACTCCAGCGAGGACGATCAGACCAACCAAAAACAGCAATCCGGAACCGAACAACCGGAAATTATCGTAGATACTCTCGAACACCTTGGCTCCAGGCATTATGTACAACTGAAAATCATTACAATTATTTTATTACTGTTATTTACTACCACTATATTTGTTATCCATCGGTCGTTGCAATTTTCGCGGTCAAATGAGGAAGACTTTTCGCTCATTCAGTTTACATAGCTCCTTCTCAGAATCTCTTCTCTAGTACAGTCCTCATCCCTCCTGCAACCAAATGCGACCCTGTATCCTGTATTGCTACAGGGTCAACAAGCGTGCAATCTCAGAAACTACCATGAGCAGCAACCCTTGAAGTCTATACGCAGGATAGGGCAGGGTTAAGGCGAAACCACCTTTCTCCGCTTTGTGCATTGGTGACTAGCTGCCACAGCTGGGGCAATTTGCTGAGAATCTAGAGTTTCAGGCTTCAGTATCCAAGGGAAGCTCCAAAGAGTTCAAGAGAGGAACAGTACGTTCTTGTGGGTAGGGATAGCAGCTGCAGGCACACTATATACCACGCAGAGCACGCCGCACTTTGGAAATCCCAGGGAAGGGAGGTTGTATTGGATTTGGTCACTGGGAACGGGGTAGGGGAGTGGACAAAAATTCTCACCAACGGTAGGACGTGCTCTGGTACCTTATGCTGCACCAGAAAAGGGTAAAATCCCTACACTTTCGGAAATACCCATATCCTTCAATAAATGTAGAGCTCGGAACTGAACTTAGCACTGCCCCTTTCCCAGACTTAAATGCGATCCTCGCTTTGGAGGTTCCCCAACAACGCCCTGCTCTGTTTATCTCAACACCTGTTTGGCTATGCATTTGCCTGGCTCTACCGGAGAGAATTTCATTCGAGAGATTTCACGGGATGAGTGAATCCAACTGAGATGTGCGACGATTTTTCATTCCCAATAGAATGACGTCACGGCAGTGAAAAATGATTAAATCGCGTCAGTCGCGACGTTTTCTGCATTCCCGTTGAGTTATGCTGATTTCTGCTGCGAAAATTACCACATTTAAATGCGCATATTGTTAGGATGTGCGCATTCCTAAGGGCTATTTCTTGTTTTCGATGAAGCGCCTCGATAAAGGTGGAAAACACTCGTAGGCTCTATTGGCAGGGCGCGTCATGGCAATGGGGAACGTTGGTCGCACTGAGCGATTCCGCGCCTTTCCCTCAATGTCATAAGCGGGCTTTCTTCAACCTTGAGCTCCAATTTCTGCTACCCTGCTAGCCTGTTCATCTCTGATTTCCAAAAACGACTCGTCAAAAAAGCAGGGTGCTGTGAACAACACTAGAGCACAAGATACAAACTCCTCCACAGTGGACCGAATATCGGCACTTCCTGCCACAAGACAAAACATCCACGGCCCTAGGGCTATCTGCTTACCGTATCGGAAGCTTGGTTGACGTTTTTGAGACCTTACGGTATGGATTAGCTAGGTAACAACAGTTACGAGCTGCAAGATCCTCCCGGTCCCAAGGAGCCGTTCATTAAGGAGCTCGTCGTTGAGAACTCTCCAATCACTCCGAGCCCTGCCTGTCGGTACGGTTCCTCCGCTTGCCGCTTGTGATGACAGCTCCTCAAAAATGTTAATCCAGCTGGTTTTTCGGAACTCAAAGCCAATATTCCCATGACGTTCTGGGCCTTGTTTCCCGAATTTCGGTGTAGTTCCCGTCGTTTGTGATACTAAGCTCACTAGAAGTTCAGAAGAGATTAGTTGCTTCAGAACTCCAGGAGAGCCTCCTATAGTTCTTCGGGTGTCGAAATTTCAGAATGTGAAGAAAAAGCAGGTTGTTTTGATGCCTTTACGCTTACCTAAGCTAAACTCTGCAAAAAGGAGTAGTTTGGCAGTCATGAGGCGGGACATGTGAAGTGGGGGAGAGTCACAAAGAACTACTGCACTGCTTTTGAAACAGTCAAAAGGCTTTTGAACTCACCAAGAATAATCTCCACAAGCTCCGCGCGTCAGATACATAGAGGCGGCCTACTGTTCGGCTTCCCAAGATAGAACAGAATACCAACAGCACCGCGAGGAGGGGTATACTGTTCAGGTCCAAGATTACGGGAGATCATGTAGTACGGCCCTCCACCCGATACCACCCCGTTAGTGGCGATTGCCGACAGAGAAATCGAGGTGAGGAACGTCTGGAAGAGTTGATTACTGAACTCGCCATTGTAGCGTCTGTATTATAATACATGTTGAAATGTTGAAAAGTAATGGCGAAGAAAGCCCAATAGGTTTTTTTTTCCTGTGTAATTCGACACGTGGGTCAGGAAGTCGACATCGCTGCAGCGCGAGGAATGCTCGCTACGCGCCCAGCATTTAATGGGTACCTAACTACCTTTTGTGCTGTCCTACCTTGCGTAAAACTCCTTCAAATATTCCCTCCCACCCTGACATTGTATGGCCATTTAGGGCACGTCCTGCAGTTGGGGAGCATTTCGCCTCTTCTCTGCCAGAGCCAAAATACGACCCCCTCCGCAGAAAATTCCCAAGGTACGACGTGCGCCGGATATTCCATCCAATCAGCCACTACGATTTCGTGTGAAAGTAGAGTGAACCCCCGCCAAAAGCTACAGTCACCTTTCTATGTCAACTTATTTTCTTCTGAATTCTACTCTATCCTTCAACCTCTACCTCCACTAAGATTCTCTCTCTTCCATAATTTTCCACTTTTTTTTCTGAATTTCAAGGGAAATTTTCACAACGTCATTCTTTTCTTCGCCATTCCCTTCCTCTGTAAACTTTGTACTTACCACAGAAACACAAACGAGAACAACGAAAAACGATTGAACAATGCCCGCGGTGCCAACGATCCACGTCATTCGAATGAAGAATAGCACACCGAAGATGTTTTGTATACAAGGGAAGAACACACCCATGAGCACACCCATTTTGGCGGCCTGAAATCATTAGAATTCTGATTGTTTCTGAGATTTCAATGTGCCAATTCTTTTGAACATTCCCTCATATTAGATGTTCTTCGGCCATCATCCTCATGGACGGCAGCAGGAGCCGCTAGGCAATTGAGTTTCGCCGTCTCGAAGAGGGACAAGTGGGGCAAGCGGCGGCACGAGGAGGACATTGCTATTCGAACGAAATTCGCTTAGACGCAGCTCTACACGAAATTCGTGCCGCTGTGCATCAATTATTCGCTTTCAAGAAATCGAGTTATAGCAGAAGAAGGCATTCACTGAGGAATGCCATCGAGGTAACCCAAGGAACACTTAGCAAATGCCTGGTGCCCACAACAAGCGCCCGAATGGGTGTGATTTCACAGATTTCCCATCCCAGCGCATAATCATCAAGCCAGAACTTTCATGCCTTTAGAAGCAGTTTTACCCCGAGTCTATTGTCGGACAATAGCAATTTTCGACAAGTATAGTGGAAGGGAGGAGAGATGAGGCGCTTAGCGTTTAAACTGAACTCCTGTTGGGAATAGGGAAGTATCCCAACTTGGAGGCCCCCACGTAGTCGAAGCTTTTTGCATAAATAAAAATCGCGCGCGATTGAAGGTTGTAGGCAACATCAGTTTTTCGCAAAGAAGTTCTGAAATATCCCTCGTCGATATGTCTTGCCCAGCAACTTTGCGTCTTTCAAAATTTTGCATCGCTGTTCGATGTTCTGTGAATTATGGGGGTTCTATGTCCGCAATAATCCTAGCATATTAGTCAAAAATGTGCTCATTGGAGGCTTTAGAGGCATTTCCCAACCATCCAGAAGCCGCGATGGTGACGTTGCAGTCCTGGACCTGGGCAGGCACATCATCCATAAGAAAATCTCATAGGGGAATTATATTTGAGCCACTGTGGAGAGGGGCCATAGGCGCTGAGAGGGTTCTCCATTACTAAGGAGGGCTGCTGGAGTTTCAGGACACTTTACGGGCTATAGTGCAAGAACTCGGTGATCAAAGCGTGGATTTTTTTAAATTCGAGGGAAGGGTCTATTCGAGGCAGTGAGTGAAACGTCGTGCTGGGTCCCCTCATGGGCCATCGCGTGCCCATGACTAAATTCAGCATGGAAGGATATTCAATCCGTTATCCGAAGATAGTTCACAAATCTCATAAGGGAATCATTTCAGCCAATGATTCGTAAGCGCGTCTCCGCGCACTCTTAATTCTAGGCGCGTAAAATCAATACTGCTTCATGTGAGTCGCTCGGATAAGCGCCCTCGTTGTTGCTTAGCGGTGCCAAAAGGGTGCCACAAAAAGGCCTATAAGAATGGTACATCCTATACTGGTTGCGCGGAACGAAAGTTTCAAAACCTAGACATGCCTGATTTGTCCAGACAAGGCACTGTGATACGTTGGATATCCTACGCAATGCCAAGTGTTTGGCCATTGGAAAAAAACGTGTTTGAGTGCATGAGAAAATAATCTTCGGTAGATTTTTCCCTTGCGCGGCGCTGTTCACAAATTCCCATTGGGGGCGAGTAGGCGATGGGGGGCGATGGTTGGTACCTGCTCATCGCTTTAGGGGGGGGGGGGGAGCAAAATTTCTTGAGACAATTTTTTCCGGTTGCTGACTTCTTTTCGCGCCCTCCCCTCTTTCGTGTCCCACACTCTTCGCTCGACGGCTTCTTTTTTTTCTTTTGGGGAAACGGGGAAGTTTCCTGGGAGAACTGGGGAACGTGGTAGGAGGTTAGGAGATTCCTTGGGGAGTAGCCGGGTGAGGGGAGAACATATTTGCGGAAAATTTTCGCGTTGACAACAGGATTTCACCAGGCTCCCTTCCCAGTAGGTAGCTTTCTAAAATCCTGCCCTCGCGAAAATAGTTAGTCCAAAAAAAATCGTCTCATAAACAATTCAAGAGCGTTCTGCGGAATACATGAGTCAGATTGATCAGCCGAACACTACAACGATTATGAGCTCGCTTTTGAAAAAAAACTCCTAATTGCGTCAGAATGTCTAATCACCAGTAATTCGCTGCTATGCAACCAAGATAGCAATCAAATTTAGGTGCATCCATTGTAAGGACAGCGCCAGAATAATTACTGGAAATGGGTTTTTCAGGGAAAGGAAACGCATTGGCTTTATGGCTGCCCGTTATTCATGAAATAACGATTGGGTTCTTAATGAAGACGCATGCACGCGCATTTCACGTGAATATTTAAGGGCGTCGTGCCGCTGAGAAAAAATTTAGCCGAGAATGCAACTCCCTCTCTCAAAATTCCTCCCCTCGTACGACCCCTTTTCTCATCTCCCATCCTTTCTACCACTTCTCCGGAAATCTCCGAATAATCTCCTCTCCTTTAACTCCCCTCCCCTCTCCCCAAAAAAAACTACCGTCGAGCAGGAAGTTGGGGGGAGGGGGGAGGAAGGGGCCAATAGTACACGTGAAACGAGTAAAACTAAGAAGTCAACAACTAAAAACCCTCTCGTTGGAAAGCAGTTACGACCCCCTCGCTGAGGATCCCCAACTGAACGAAATGCTGTGATCGTGGAAACTGACCGTTTTTGGTTTCTCATCGGCTTCCTCCGACGTCGGTTCGGTCGCATTGTACACGGACAATTTCCGTAACATTTGTCCAATTTTCTGTCCCTGAGTGTCATAGTCGGCCTGAAATGGTGGTGATTTGAGGCTGATGTATTGTGGAACCTTGGAAAAAGTGTCTGCCAATCTCAGCCTTTTGCTTCTGCTCTGCCTTATTTGGATAAATAATAAAGAAGGAGGAAAAATGATCCGACTTTTGAAATAGATGAAGACAACAAGGAAAAATTATAAGAAAAATAATAAGAAAGAGAGAGCCGTCTTGAGTGGGGCAGGGATATAAAGCGCATTTGAGAGAGAAAAAATTAGCAGTAGACAACCGAAACTATTTCTTTCGGGTGCAGCTACGACTTCTCTTACTCATTCCAGCGTCCGAATACAATCCTCTTGCTGGGGATCTCCAACGTGCGACGTGCCCTGTTCTGAACGGCAAGTGAACGAGTAACCCCCCCCCCCTGAATTCAGGCTCTCG